GCTACTCATTTTCATTTATTTTTTGTAAAACTTTTTTTTTTTTTGTGGAAGGATTTTACTTATACTCATTGCAACAATGCAAGTACTGAATTATTAGTGGACTCTAATCATGAATTCATTACAGACGAGATTTGTTAAGTTTTTTTATGAATACAATTTTTTCTTATTTCTAATTTGTATTGAGTTTTATTAATAATTTGACGCACAAATGTATTTATTATGTTTAGATTTTTAGTAGTTGTCAAGCATTAATTAAATGGGCTTCTGACGTTGAAAATAAGACTGGATTTGTCATTATTATAAAGACATTAGATGCAAGTGGTAATGACAAAAAACCAAGACTTACCCTTGCTTGTGAAAGAAGTGGTTATTATAGAGACAACATGAAGATCAAGGGGGAACGATTGAGGTTGACAGGTTCTAAAAAGTGTGGATGTCCATTTTTATTAAGGGGGGAAAAATTACCTACAAATGATGAGTGGATGTTGCATGTCTTATGTGGAGTGCACAATCATCCATCTGCTGAACATCTTGAAGGGCACTTATTTGCTGGCAGATTATCTAAGGAGAAAACATCCTTATTAGTTGACATGTCGAAGAGTATGGTGCGACCAAAAAAGATATTGGTTACATTGAAACAAAGGGATGCCTTTAATGCGACAACAATGAAGACAATCTACAATGCACGTCATCGACATCGAGTAGTACAGAGGGCGGGAAGATCACAGATGCAACAACTATTGGGGCAATTGTTGATTCAAAATTATGTTGAGTGGCATCGATGTGATGATAGAGAGATGGTGACTGACTTGTTCTGGGCACACCCAGTTAGTTTGGAGTTGTTGCGTGCATTTCCATATGTGTTGATTATGGATTGCACATACAAGACTAATAGGTATCGACTCCCTCTCTTAGAGATTGTTGGGGTAACATCAACGGACTTGACTTTTTCAGTTGCTTTTGCTTATCTTGGTCATGAACGGGAGGACAACTATACATGGGCTTTAGGCGTATTGCGTACTATTATGGAGAATACTACTTTTCCAAAAGTCATTATTACAGATAGGGAGTTGGCTTTGATGAAAGGCATAGCAAAAGTTCTACCTATGGCTACTAATCTTTTATGTAGATGGCATATTAGTAAGAATGTTTTGATGAAGTGTAAGAAGGTTTTTAAGACGAAAGATAAATGGGATAAGTTCATGCATAGTTGGAGTGCTTTGGTATTGGTTAGAACAGAAGTAGAATTCAATGAACAATTTTCCACTATAAAAACTAAATTTACTACGTATCCTGAAGCTATTAAGTATGTTACTACCAATTGGTTTGAGCCATACAAGGAAAAATTTGTTGCAGCTTGGACAGATAGTAATATGCATTTCGGAAATACTACTACAAACAGGTAAATTATGGTCATTGCATTTATGAATTGCTATAATTCTTTAATTTTTATATTAAATACCAAAATATACAAACTTGTAGGGCAGAGAGTTCTCATGCTAAATTGAAGAGGCAACTTGGATCAAGTCAAGGCAGTTTTGAGACATCTTGGACTAAAATACACAATTTGTTAGAGTTGCAGCATGCAGACATTAAAGCCTCATTTCAGCAGAGTTTGATTGTAGTCCAACACAACTACACACCTACTGAGTTCATTGTGGTTTTATTTCAATTTATAGTTTGGACAAAATATTAGTGGAGTCAAAGAGATCGAATAGTGTAGGAATAGATGTTGCTGCATGTGGCTGCATTTTGTGACGTACACATGGGTTGCCATGTGCACATGAAATAGCTGAGTATTTTCAACAAGGTCGACCGATTCCCCTCTCGTGTGCAAATCCTCATTGGAGGAAGTTAGATATGCTTCCAGTTTCATAGAGTGCTTTTGTGAAGTTGGATTGCAAAACAGAGACTGATTTTTTTATTGAGAAATTCCAAACGATTGACGAGACGCATCAAGTGATCATTCTGAAGAAGTTGAGGGAGTTAATTAGTCCAGACAGTACATTTTTTATGGAACTTGAACTCAAGACTGACACGTGAGGAAGGAGTCGAGGTCGCGGCCATGGTCAATTCAAAATCGATACGTCTACTAAACGTGAGCCATCTGCGTTTGAGTTTGTACTATCTAGGGAAGATAGTTATTCACAGGGTGTTACCATCTCAACTACACCAGTTTGTAAGCAAGTGCAACGGAAGAAGGCAAAAAAAGATAATGTACGTAATTACATAATACTTGTAACTATGTACCAAATATATTTTAATAGTTTTCCAACCTCATTTTAATTATTTTATATATCCATTGTTGTATATTTGTGATGTAGGTTTGTATGACGTAGTCAACAAATCGTATTTCTTACTTCGAACAATTTCCAGAGAAGTTGAGATCATATATCCGTCACATAAAATATGTACATGCAGATGGCAATTGTGGCTTCACGGCAATAGCTGGATTGATCGATTAGATGAAGATGATTGGGAACAAGTTAGGCGCAACTTGTTGACTGAGTTGCATTCGAATGTAGTGCACTACATGCAACTATTTGGTTCACAAGAAAGGGTTGATGAACTTAACTCTATCTTATCCTACTTCGAACCTAGCCCTGGATTTAATCATTGGATGACTATGTCTGACATGGGCCATTTGATAGCATCATACTATCGAGTCGTTCTTTACCATTTATCCATGCAACAATGCTTGATGTTTTTACCACTTAGATCAATACCGATTGCAACACCTGATCGAAGAGATATTTGCATAGGATTTGTAAATGGAAACCATTTTGTGCAGGTAACTACCGAGCCTACTTACATCATTACCATGTCTTATTTTGTAATTATATTTATTGATTTCTTTGTTAGGTTTATCTGCAACCTGGTCATCCAGTACCTTCGATAGCAAATAATTGGATTCGTTTTCATCACCCGTGTGCTATTGGATGGGAGAAAGCATATACTATCCGTATTCAGCAATTTCGCACTCTTATCAGCCCTGACGTAATAACTACCGAAACAATCGATATAGAAGAATTGTGATAACATGTTTGATTGATGGATGCAAACAATGACAAATTTTATGGATGCTTTTATGGATATTCGTACACTTGATTTTGTTATGAAATATTTTATGAAAACTTTTTATCTTTGATTTTATAGACGCATGTTTGATTTATGGATGTTTTTTATCGAACTAGATTAATTCAAATTCGTTAACATTATATTACCAAACAGCCCCAAATTAGTATTTATAACAAAATGGCTCTGTAAATGTATAGCAACATAAAGCTAGACAAATATATTTTTTCCAACAACATAACACCGAACAAATGTAATTTGTCTACTATTGTGTGACTGAACAGACACTTCATAGTGGGCTCCACTGACATTGTTATGAAGCAAATTGAAATTCTCCAATTGTATGGCAACATATTGCTGGGAAAAACTATTTTGTCTGGTAACAGAACACTGGATTAATTAAAATTCACTAGCATTTTATTACCGAACAGCCCCAGCACAAATTATTACCACATCATTTGGGAGGATGTGGCTCTGTAAATGTATAGCCACAAAAGGCTGGACAAAACCATTTGTTCTGGCATTACAGCACAAATTTTTTGTAAATTGTTTCGCATTGTGTGACCGAACAAGCACTTCAATATGGTCTCTACTGGCTTTGTTGGGAAATGAACAAAAATTATCAAATTGAACGGCAACATAATGTTGAGAAATTTTTTTTTATCCAGTAACATGGAACTAGAGTAGTTCAAATTGTTTAGCATTGTATTACCGAACAAGCCCAGCACAAATAAAAAAAACATTGTTTAGGATAAAGTGGCTCTGGAAATATATAGCAACTAAATGCTGGAGGAATCTATTGTTTCCGGCAACTGAACACCGGAATAATTCAAATTATTTAGCAGTATGACGTTGAACTGGCCTATAGCACTGAAAAAAACAATGTTACTTCTAGCAAATGGTACCATATTCCTCCAAAACACTTTAATACCATTACAATGCATTACAAACAATAACAAATCCATATGTTCGCCAAAATAAGTTTCCATTGACATAAATATTGAATACAAAATAGATGTGAAACTGTTTAAAATTCTTACAAAAGTATGACAATTCATTACTTATCCAACCAAGCATCCAGTTTACAAAAGATCCAAAGCATCCACAAAAACTATGCCATAAGGGAAAAGTATATCCCAAATTCTATACGGCCTAGGCATTCACAAAAACAGTCATAAAAAAAAAACTAGATCCCAAATTCTGTACGGGGTAGGCTTTCACAAAAACTATGCCATCAAAAAAAAAAAAAAAAAACTACATCCCAAATATCATGTATGGTTAACACAAAACTATATCCCAAAATGTATACGGGCTAGACATTATGCAAAATTATGTCATCAAACAAAAAGTAGATCTCAATCCTCATGTTCGGTCCATCTTACGACGTTTACGATAGTAGACTTGATGCTCTGTACATGTCGAAGTAGATCCCAAACTCTGTCCATCAAGAACTTGCACCTTGCGACCAATGGTTTCATACAGCATGTTAGGGTACAAGACACACTCATCACGACTGAGCCTATGGACTGCAGCACCAACATTGAAAGCAGCATCATTACACTGTAAAAAAAATTGATAAACGTCATACTTAGTGTTTGATTTATGGTGAACCACTTAAAAGTGAAAAAGTTAATTCATAATTTGCTTACCCACTCAGGATCCATAGTAACATCATTATTGGGACGTTGAACACGTGGATCAAACAGAGAGTGATGTGTAGGATTTTGAACAACCCGATGCGAAACACGAGCATACCACTCACGGTATCCCCGTACACATTCAGATGGCTGCTGCTGTACAGGCACACTACGAGCATTAATGGACAACACATGATTCTTTCATTATGCCCATATCGTGTCATGGTATTGATACATGATTCTGTACTATCCTGGTTTACTGCCCTGTGTAGTTCGAACATGAGATAATGGTTCTGGTGGGATGGTTTGGACACTACCAAACTGTCGCAAAACCCTATTGGGGTGATAGGGTTCAACAATATCAAAGCATTTCAAATATCCAGTATAATATGCAACCTCATGAAGTGGATGGTGTGTCCTACATAAACGGTATGGATCCCACTCCATCTGCAAATAAGGAATGCATAATGTTAGTTAGGAAATCTTTTTTTTTTTTTTTTTAACAATATCACACTAAAATAAAATGTTTAACCTCATTAGCACGTAACATGTCAAGTTGGTCTCGTAATATCTGCAAGTGGTCTTCTGTAAAACCTCCATCTCTCCACGGACTCCAACGACATACACGAGGTTGTTCATCAGAATAGGGCAAATTTAGATGAGGCCTTCCTAAACGAAAATGCTCATAAATCCATGCTTCTAATAGCTTCAAGTAACCAACAATCTGCTTAACACCAGCCCTACTAGCAAGTCCTAATTGTTTATATAGGAATGCTAAAGCTGCAGCACCCCATGCATATGAGCTAACAGCATCAATGTTAGTCAACATGTGCAGGTAAGCAACAGGTACTCGAATCCCACTCTTGTCAGCGAAGAGGGTACAACCTAATAAATATAGCAAGTAAGCTCTCGCTGCGTATTCTATGAAATTTGCATCATTTGTATCGTTAACTTCATAAAATCCAATTCGCAACCACTCTAACTTCATGGATTTCCCACAAGATTGAACTAATTCTGCAAATGCATCATTCACTGGCACTCCCAAACTAGCATTCACCAGTTCAGCAGCCTCATATCTTGTTAACTTAGGACATGACAAAGCCATGCCAGTGACTGGAATGCCAAGTATGGTTCGCACAACATCCAATGTGACAGTCATCCCACCATCTAGCATGTGAAATGTATTTGTCTCTGGATGCCACCTTTCAACGAAGGCAGATATTGCCACTTTATTGCCATGCTGATATGTGTGATCAATAAGGACATTAAGACCAGACTGCTCAACCAAATGTCTCCACCTAACATTTTGGACTGTTGGTGACATCCATAGCCACTTGGCAAGCTTTCGAGAACGATTCAAACATTTAAGAGGTCCCCGTTCCTGTATTTTACATAAAACATATAAATAATTTGAAGCATATAGTACATATGATTAGTTTATTGTTGAGAAATTCTCAAAATACCTTTTTCTTCCAAACAACGGCAGCAACATGGTTGCGAAAGCTAATTAGTAATGAAGGATCCTCTAGAGCACTCGGAACTGGTTCTGTGTTGTCATCATCCACACTAACATCGTCTTTCGTGAGGTCGGCCTCTACACCAATATCATTATCAACATCGTCATTCTCCACACCAATATCGTCGTCAACATAATCATTATTCACATTCATATCGTCATCCTCCTCCACAGGGACATTCACTTCCACTGGTTCAGGTTCTGTTTGCCTAGCATGTCTTCTGTTGGATGCCGTTGGTCTCTTACGTGAGACACCACTAACCATTTCTATGTAAAAAAAAACATTAAACCCAATATCAGCAAAAACTCGAATATATTAAATGACTGATATAAACAATATCAACAAAGAAACCGTAATTTCATAGATAACATTCAATTTAAAGAAAAAAAATTTGAATGTGCAAATGTATAGAAAAGGGTAAAAATTCAAATTATAATGCAAGTATGCATTTGATAATTTTAATGTGCCTACATTGTTCTATTTCAAGTTTCTAGTTTTTCTTGTTTATTTTGAATTTTAAAATGTTAACATTGTACTGTATCTTAAAGCTCACAGTCTAATTTTCTTGGGATACCTTGCCTTTGGATGTTACAGCTTATAAGAAAATTGACATACTTGTGTAATAATATTCAGATAATTTGAAAAGAGCATTCAAACTGAGAAATAAGCAAGTGTTAGGATTCAAAATAGTATCTCAAGTTCCTTAAATTGTGGGGTATTATGACTTTGGAATCCTTGGTTTCCTAGTTGGTGGGGAGAAAAAAGGAGCCATTATGACTTCTTGTTAACTAAATTTCTGGAAATGTTTTCAGTCCCTTGGTAGGAAAAAGGAGCCATTATGACTTCTTGTTAACTAAATTTCTGGAAATGTTTTCAGTCCCCTAGTAGGATATTAGTTGCCAAAATGCCCATAAACGAGCTTGTGGGCAAATAATAGTAAGAAACTTGGGCAATGTGGACAAATAACAGTATAGCAGTACCATACTTCTATTAAGAAAATTGTAAGAATTCAATTTGCAGAGTTTTAGAGGGGGAAAAATAAGTTGGGACTAATGATCTTTAAGTACAACTGGAGATGCATTTCATTTTTATTGGCATGCAACTGGAGATACATTTATCATTAAGTTCGTCATATTCTAATTCTATAATGTGTCCAGACACTATACATGTGCTTTCTTTCAATACAATAATGTCATTGTGTACATGAGAATTTTTAAATTCAACCACATTTATTAGATGTTCTACTTAATTTTGGTAAAAAAATGACAGGCTAGGTCTCTTCTTGGTCACTGGTTCATATTTTTCAATACAATAATGTCACTGGTTCACACATAATAGGCTAGGCCAAGCAGAAGCCAGTATGGGTTGCTTTCAGGAGTCGCTAGTGTGATGTAAAGCAAGGTTTCAGCAAGGAGAGGGAGCACACTAGCCACTTCATGGAACATATGCTTTAAACAAGGAACCCCAATCATACTATGTATGACAGTTTTGTTCAACTATTAACAATACATGTTTTTATATGTTGCTTACTGAAATGAAAACATCAATAACTAGATAAATAGTATGTCGTGATGGTGCCTTCGCATATACTAGCTAATCAACAATGATTCTCTTGTTTTTACAAGGGTCCTTGCAACTCCGTAGAGCAAAAAAATATACATGAGCTATCATGCAATCACCAGCTTCTATTAGGTCATGGTATATTCCTCACGGAAAACCTCGTGCCTTTCATTTTGGTCTCTTAGAACGGAGAAAATAAAAAAAAAAAAAAAAAAAAAAAATCAATTTTGAAGAAGTTAATGCACCATTATTCTCATACAAGATTCTGGTCCAATGTGAATGACTATGCTTTAGGTGATTTCCATGTTGGTTGATGAGACAATGTTCCCTCCGCTCCGACACTTCTAATGTTTGTGTCATGTGTGTTATGCTCTTGGAGTTGCTTCTTATGGTTGCCCAAGTGGAGACGCTATCTCTAGGGGCTGACGCTTTTCTGGCAAATATGGACTCCCTTTAAAGGAGATTTATAAAAAATAAAAATAAAAAAGGTTCTAATTAATGGCTATTTGTTTCCCCATTATATGGTGACTACAAAATGCAAAAACCATAGCCCTTGAACCAACTGATTCAATTAAAGGCTCCATTGCAGTGAGTTTGTGAGCTTATGAAAACCAAAACAAAACCTCATCTATTCTATTACATAAATCCTACACATAACTCTGACTCTGTTTGACATGAAGTTTTGTGAGTATATGTAGCCTATGAAAAGAAAAAGAAAATGCCACTTGGCACAATTTTAGAAAATTTGAATAACATTTTCAAAATTTTCACGAAACTGTCATTAGGCTAAAACAAAATCTCGTAAGGTATGGTACGACTATAGAGCGTGGTACCCTTCTACTACAAAATGTGTGTATGGACTAATTACGTTTCCTTTCGCTAGATTTTCTCAGCAACCAAACAATTAACAAGCAAAAGAGAATTGTTAACGAGAGTAATTTGAAACTGCAGTTGTACTTGTAATTTGACAGCATATGCAACTTAAAAACTACTTAAAATGAAATCAAATTGAACTAATCCCAAGCAATAACGAACTAGAATAAGTAACCCATAAATTCAATTTTTTTCCACAACTATTGATAACCTTCTATTGCAGCTCTTTACCCATAGAACTCCAACCTTTTCCACTTAACTATCACTCTCAAAAAGAAAAAAGAAAGAGACAGAGGGCAAAACAGAGGACCAAAAATCTAATAAAACATAGAACCAAAATCTGAACTTCAACATTCAAAACTAGCACCAAAAATCACAAACCCAATTAAATTCCAAGATCAAAACCACCAAAGCTATGTTGGGAATGTGCTATACTTTGTCTATTCGCACCAAAATGATGACATAGATGATATAGATATATAGATAGATACGCATATCTATGTCTATCAATATAGAGAGAGAAAGAAGAGTTTTCTCACTTACCTTTGGCAAATGAGAAGAGTGAGTTCAATCGTCCACGCCGTCCGAACGCCTCAATGCCGGTGTTGTCTACTCTTCTTCCCTACGTTGTTCTCTCTGCATCGTTCTCTTTTCCCTCCAGAAATATGGGTGTAAAGAGATGGGTTTTGAAGAGTTTTGTATCATAGGGTTTGTTTTGGTACTATATTAGGTGTAATGAGAATTCAAAATTTTTTTTAAGTGGTGTAATGAGATGGAGGGTGTAAGGAGGTAAAAGAGTGGTGTAAGTAGAATCACCCATATATTAATTGACCTTCTCTTCTTCTGGACATAAAAATTAAGGACATATTTGGACATGAATTGTTATTCTGTTGCCATATTAATTGGTTTAATAAAAAAAATTGTAAATTGTTTTAGTAAGAGTAGCATTTTCATGCCAAGCTTCAATTCTATTATAGTACAATGGAGGACTGACTGAAAAGGAGGCAAATGAATGAGTAAAATTTGAATAACAGTGATATCTTATCATTATGTACGTGTAATATCATTAACAAATTATAACATTTTTATTTTGAGTGGATAACTAATTATAACCTAACAATATGGGCAAGAATAATAAATAATAATAATAATATTATTATTATTATGGCAGTACGTTTTCCAATCTAATGAGAAATGGACATTAAAGCTATTGGACATACTTCTTGTTGGCACCCTATTTTTGACTGTCCTTAAGTCTTGGGCGCCACTGATTGATCACCCAATAATGAATGTACACGCTTGTTCCAATGCTCGACTTCCTCAGTAGGAAACCTCAGTTTTGAGCCTAAAAAACCTACAAACTTTGTGCCTTGTTTTTTGACTAAAATAGTAGTTTTTCAAGCCTGACCAGCCGAGGGACTAACAGACCCACTAGTGGTCAGCCGCCCACTTGTGTAAAATTTCAGATCTTTTTGCCAGCTGTGCTAACTGTCTATACAGATACATGCACTACACTATCTGTGTCTGTATGGATATTTATGAAATATTCTCATATATTTATATATATAGATGACTCTCTCTCATAATTTAGGGTTAGAAAAATTTGTGGAGTAAAAAATCTCGGAAAATATTTCTCTCTTTACATTTCTCTCTCTCTCTCTCTCTCTCTCTCTTGCAACTTTTATACCGTTTGCCGAGACACTCCAAACCAAACCTAGAGGGTTATTTGCTGAGGTGTTTGAGCTTGCATTTTAAGCTCTTGAGGGTATGAATTAGTGGTTTATAATTCAAAAGGTCATTCCCCTTCAAAAGGTATAACTCCAAGTTTCTTCCCTTTATTCATTTACCACCATTTATTGCTTTTGTACTGTTTTTCACCTGTATTTATGGGCTGAAACTTGTGGTTTAAAGCCATTAAAGGTAGAGGGGTTGACCACCCTTCTTTGAACCTTACTTTCTAGGCTTTTATCCTTGTGTTTCCCATCTCTTCATCAACTTTTTTTTGAGCTCTTTACTATTGAATTTTAGAAGTTTTCAGAGGCTAAAAATGATGTTTTGAAGTCTCAAAAATGAAAGGGTTAGCCTCCCCTCCTTGTGCTTGTTTACTAGCTTTAATTCCTCAATATTGTAGCTAACTTTTTCAAGTTTTACCATATGAATTCCAGCACTGTAGTAGCCTATTTTAGGACTGTTTAAGTTGTTCATGTCATTTATGCTTTGTATTGCATGTTTGTAGTGTAACAGTCCTCATAAGTTTAGTGTTTTAAGCGTTAGACACCAACCTATTTGAGTTAATAGCATTTATTTCATACTTTTCATACTTGCGTTCATCTCTAATCATCTCTGTACTTCTCTCATTTCTTGGCTTCTGCCTTGCTTTGAGAGTCGTTTCAAACCGATTGTTTGTTTAAGCTTGAGATAGAGATTGTTGTGCTTAATGGTTTAATCTCTTCGGAGGTTCATTACCAACGGTATGACAGCCCAAAACAACCATTTGTTTGATATTTCTTTCCATTAGTGGACTTAATGCTCATTTTGGACTAAAATGACTAATGGATGGAAATGTAATTAAAAGAGGTGCTAAAATTGAAATAAAATGGAGTGAGACAATAAAATAGTTTGGGGTTTAATCGGACGTTAATTGAACCTGTTGAGTCTTGAAGCATTTCATACTAACTAGTGATGAAAATGGTTCAAGTTTCAACGTCAATCGCTTTCCTTGATCAATATCATGATAGGGAGGGGGTTCGTGAGTCTTTAATTGTGTATTTATTGAAATTGTATCCATTGGTTCATAAGTCATCACGCAATGAATTTACGCCGATTGATGG